CCCCAAAACCCCAAAACCCCAAAACCCCGTTATTCATTAATTATAATTCAGAATAGAGTAATATTTAAATCAAAGAGAATAAAATCAATTTCTTAACTCGAGGCATCATTTTTGCAAAAAATTTGAAGAAATAAATCAATCATCAAGTTTTGACCAACATAATTTCATTTGAGGTTTATTATTTCTTCTAATTTTATTACTATGCTTTTTCATTTACCCTAGGTCTACACCACCAAATCATAGCCCGTACAAATAAGTAAATATGAAGTATATAGAGTGGTATAATAGATAATACAGCAACTAAAGTTGTCAAGGATATGAAGACTGCTGTTGTAATAACAAATAAGGCAATAGCAAAAGGACACATAAAAATGGCAAAGATCTTATTACATTTTGTGGAAAGATACATACAACCAACACAACTTCCACAGCCTCCATATAGTGATGCAATACATGCAGTTACGAGAGTGAAAATGGGAATTAGTAATAGTCCTAAGATGAAAAAGATAAAATAGACAATTGCTCTTTTTTTTGTGTTAGGTGCATATTAGCACATGATAGGAAATAGATGAGTCCAATGTTCAGTAGATTAACCACAACCCCAACACCATGAATGATTGCATATTGTACATCTCATATGAGGGCATCCTGCATTCTTTTCAACTGGAGCTTGACACTAAGGACATTTATGAGCACCAATTTCATTCGCCCAATCCTTGTATAATTCTGTTTGAGCTTATTTGCAGGTCTGTCCTTGATGCCATTTTATTTGGCACTTATAGCAAACTTCATTTTTACACTTTGAGCATTTAATTTTGGTAGTGTCATACTTTCCCTCCAATATATTCTCACAATCAGGGATGGGACAAAATTTCTTATTGTTGGATTTGCTAACCTCGACATTGAGCTAAAGTCTCTTTAATTTATCAAGCATATTATTACTCATCAACTCTTATATTATCTCTAATGGGATAACTTAACTGCATGAGCCTTCTGGACACTTTAGATTATATGTTTGACCACTGTTAATTAAGTAGGAGAAGTATTCCACAAAACAATCATGACAGAAATAATGGCCACAACTTAAATACTTGATCATCTTAATGTCTTGATTTTGATAACAAATTTTACACTCAAACGTTTCTGCATCCTAATCAATCAACTGAATGTTAAACCCATTATATTTATCAATGAACAATTCTCTGCAATTCCACTTTAATTCTTCCAACTCATGCATTTGCAACGAATTCTATCTGAAATAGTTGTAACGATTAATTATAATTCTTACCTTTAAATTAGAGGACGATATTGAGTTTTCTATAAAATTTTACCACTTGCCATTTCTGCCTAGCACAATTAATGTTATTGATATTTTTCTCCACATTAAGAACAATTAAAAACAGAAGGTGGATCTCTCATGAGTCTATAATCTCTAGGAATTTCTTGATCATATTTAATTTTGTATTCATGTGCCCACCCTTTGGAAGGTTTATTTTTTTCTTTTATGCTCTAACCAAATGATGTTCCATATATTTCAGGGTAGAGATATAGTCTTGAGGTATGATAGCTTTGTATGTATTGTTAAACTAATCCAGGACCATTCACTTCAGCTGGGTCATTAGGATACATGAAATATGCAAAGTCCCCATCTGTATCTTCACAGGAATTTAATACTTTCATCTTGGCATCAGATAGCTCACACTCATTTTACATTCTAAGCTTGAATGCTCTCTCTCTCAGTTTTGATTTGGTATGATGTTGAAACTTTTCTTGAATTTACTTTTTTCTATCTGATTGATAATCTTAACGATAATCATAGACCTCATCATTTACAGGATTACCTAGATCAAGCAGACTTTGATTAAGGTCAGGCTGAACCTCACCCATTTCGATGTCTAAACGATGGTTGTTAATATCTTCTTCCTAGGACTGCAAATTCATCTTTAAGAATATAATTACTTGTATTAGATTAATCAATGACGAAATTTATCTGATTAAAATCTCCTTTAAAAATCATATCAATCAAATAACTATTATTCACTTTAAACTATATATTATTATCATTAAATACTTTATCTAAAAATTTTGCCTCCCCTGGGGTTTTGGGGTTTTGGGGAGAATTGATTTTGAATAAAAGACCAACCTCAAAATCTAAACG